TGTGTGAGTGAATGAGTCCACAGCGTCTCCCAAATATTCTCTCTTTGCCGTTTAGGGGGACACCTCTTCACAGTACTCAGGTAGCTTCCTGCTGCTCTGGCTTTGGTGTCCTGACTTAACCCTTTAGGAGTTCAGAAACATTGGTACGTACTTATCTATAGGTTTCTGCACATTTAGAAATTAGGCCTTTGTTTTTGCTTTAAAAAGAGAAGAAGAAAAATATTTGATATTTTTCAGTTGGGATTTACTGGCGTGGTGTTGCATAGGAGCCGTGTCTTCATCATCCTCTGAAGCTTCTCACTCAAAACTTTCCACGCTCCTGCACCAGCTTGCTTAACACAGACATCCTCTGTGGCCCATGGAAGGCACTGTGGTCTACCGTGGGACATGCAGTCTTACTAAGGACTCAGGCCCACCAAGGGAAATGGGAAATGGGAGCAGGGAGACTCAAACAAATTTCATAAGACATCACAGTAATATTTTTTCATCTAAATAGTTCTGTACTCCATTACAAAAAAATTCATGGAAAAATATTTTTATCTGCATAAAACTGAATTCTTTCTGTGGGAAAACAATTCTATTTTAAAATCATTTTCCAATTATCTTGCAATTTTTGTAGTTAGTGGGGTTTTTTTTTCTTTTTTGGAGAGAGAGTTACCTGCTCGGTAAACATAGCCTAATTTCTTCAGATTCAGATTTTTTTAATCTTTCCTTTCTCTCATTAGGAGAAAGCGATACCCTCTGAAAGAATCAGATCAATACTGTATTGGAAGCTTGGCCCTTATGCACAGAGGGACAATCGACATTGTAATTGGTGACTTCATACATTTTCCCCTTGAGTTCTATCAATTCTTTTTTATTTCTACAGTTGTTGTTTGTTCCTTCCTCTTTTTTTGCTTGGAAATTAATCATGCAGGAAATGATTAACCACAGTAAGCTGTCTGCCTGCCTCTGACGCAATGTGTGTTTGGGGGGGGACGCTAGCAGCAGCTTAAAATGGCTGACTGTGTGCGAACAGTGCCGTTGCAGGCCAGCTGTTCCCACTGTCCACCCCACATAGGGGCCATTCTTTCTTTATAGCCTTTATGTAGTAAAAATACTCTTGAAAAGATTTTTGAGGTGCTAAACTTAAATCTGAAATTTCCAGAGTTTGCGTTTAGTGCCACTTTTTCTTATTGCTCTTCATAGGTTATCTCGCAGAGCAAGGGGTCTTTGCCGAGCGCAACACACATCGTCTCATTCTTATACTCTGGATTTTAATGACTTTTTAACGTGCTGTGTCGCAGGCTGCGCTTGAGGCCTCTCTGTTGGCGCCTGCCTGCTGATAGCAGTGCTAGTGCTAAGAGCGGCTGACCCCTGGCAGGAAGCGGGCATGGGCATGCTCTCGCTGGTGCCTGCCACGCAAGGGGAAAGCAGCTGCTACTGCCGTGGCCAGCTGTGGAAATCCTTCTCTATTTTGGATTTTACCGACTTTTGTGTTTGGAGCTCAGAGTCCTCAGTTTTGGTGCACGCCTGCGCGTCCGTTAGTTACGTTAACCCTTTCTTCTGCAGAACCAAGCTCCGTTACATATAATGGCAGCAGCTTTTTGAAAAGCAGGGGGAATCTGCGCGGCTGCCTAGACTGCGCGCAAGGAAGCGCCTGCTGGCTCCCGAGGGCTGACGTTCCTTCAGCCCCTTTGCTTTTCTGCGGGAACTGGTCGTCCGTTGCAGCGCTCCACAGCACTGAATGTTCCCCTAGCTGGGTAGTTAACCAAGGCAGCCAGCAAAACTTATTACTGTGTGGATCGGTTACTATTTCAGATGGTTCACAGCATCAGCTGGTAGTAATTGAACATAACGTCCATTTCTGAGAACGGGATCTTTCCCGCTGCTCAAGAGCAGATAATACACTACAGGAGACTTGAGCCCTTTGCGACAGTGTAGGGCAATAACCAAAGCCTTCCTCTAACTGCAGAGCTACAGCTGAACCTCTTGGGACATCCCCATGCTCTGCGCAAAACGGAGATCCCCTGACTTAGTGGTGAGCAGCCGGGCCGCAGAGCTGAGGTGCAGCGCTGTGCCCACCCGGCTGCTTTGCCCCTGCAGCCCCAGAGGGGCTGCTCCCCCCGGCGCCGGCCCTCGGCTTCGCTACTCTTCCTCCAGGCTTATGAGGATTAAATGTATAACCAAAAACGTGCCCATTTTTTGCTTGCGTAAAGGCGGACGAAGAAACAGGGTGTACAAAATCTAACAGCCAGGCAGCAAGGGTGAGCTGGAGCTTTGAAGACGGAGGCCTATTTCTTGCTGCAAAGTTTCTATGCAAGTTTCTCAGCAGGGGCTGAGTCAGGGCGTGACAAAAGTCAGACTGAAACAACGGCCCAACTTATTTTTTAAGCTAAAATTTGATAATCCAGAGCGTCTTACTGACTCTGTAAGTGTGTGCATTATACTTGGGGGGATGCAGGTTGCTGACTACTGCCATATAATCCTTTTTCTGATGGCTCCTAAGGGAAATATAGGCTCTAGGATACCACACAGAGCTATAGGAATGGTATTTCCTACTTCGGTATTAGGAAGTTGTCCTTTCGGTTGACTCAGGTATACTTCTGGCTAAGCTAAGCAGTTCGGCTCTGTGTACTTCATCTCTAAACACTGAGGCAGGAATGTAAAATACTTTTATTGGGCGACAAAATACATTCCTCTAACGGCTCATTGGAGGTTTCAGAACCACTTAATAGTTTGTATTTATTTGCCACATCTAGTTTATTTAGTTCCCCTCAAATTACTCTAAATTACCATATCCATTTTAGCAGATCTTACATAGGAAGATGTCACCAAAAATGACTGCAGCATGGCCATGAAGCGTGAACAACTATGCAGTACGCTTGCCTTAGACTTCAAGCCAACTGTGCCTAAGTTGGGCCTGTTTTGCAGCTTGCCCTATGCTTGCAAAACGTCATTTGCAAAACCCCCTTGCGACTGTGTGCTAGGGGTTACGGGGCTTGTTCAGCTAAAGCTTGTTCGTACGCCAGAGGCCTCCTTGGTGCCTCCGCGCCAAGGGACAGGCGAGCAGGCTGCACCTTGCGCCTTTCTCGCGCCCGCTCCCCGCGAGGAGGAGAGCGTGCCGGAGGGTTTGGAGAGGCAGGATGATGGGTCCTCGGGCAGTGGCTCTCCAGGGAAGGTTTCAGGCCGCTGAGCGTTTCTGTGGTTCCCCTCTGGCCCCGCCGGTTCCCTGAGACACAGATCTAAAGCAACTGAGTTAAAAGGAAAGAAAGTAGAACAGAATAGGACAGGCATGTAAAAAAGTGACAGTTCAAATGACAGAGAGGGTAAACAAGTAGGATCATGTGCAAAAGCACTGCTTTTTAGGGAAAGCTCGACAGAGGTCGGTTGGCTTGCTGCGTTCAGGTTTGAGCTGCCCACCCGGAGGAATTCTTCTTTAAAGGCTGAATGTGAACGTGACTTTATTCCCCCTGCTCGAGAGACGTTCCCTTGGCACGTGGGGTGTCGAGCAGATTCACGGTGCCTTATCCAGGCTGCCTTGGCCGCTTATCAAACCAATGTAGAGAGCAGAATTTCTCATTTTAATCAGTGGAAGGAGTTAAAAGCCTGGTGAAATAGCCTGATGGCACAGTTAGGCCAGAGACGACTGCAGCTGTGAAAAGGCTGTGTTAAGAAACAGGATGGTTGTGGTCTGCAGCAAGAAATAATTTTCCTGTTGACTGTTTTTTTAAACAGGAAGTTGAAGAACAAAGCAGCGTTAGTCTTCGTGCTTTTAATAGACTTCAGATTTTAAATATTGAAATCAGTATAAGAAGATTGGGAAAAGACAGGACTTTGTGCTGAGTTTTATGTAATGACTGAGAGTTAGAAAAATGAGATATAACTAACAGAACTCAAGCAGATCCTGTGAATTGGAAACTTGTGCTTCCCTGGTTTTGTTTTAATATCAGAAGTAACTCACCACCAGAATGAAGAGAGAATTTCTGTGCGTTTGAAGGACTGCGTGTGTGCGTGTGCGCGTGTGTGTGTGTTTGTACAGCACTGCTGTAGACTTGGTTTCACACAGTTTCCTCTGGGTTAGTCGGTCCATCCGTCCGTCAGCCAGGCAGCTTCCCCTTTGCTCCGCTTGCTCTTTCGCAGCAACAGGAAAGAGAAACAGCTTCTACAGCAGAGCCAGATGAAACCTGCACAGGCGGGAGAGAGAGCGGCAGTGCCTCGAGCCGCTTTCAGCTCCATTTTCTTTTCAAGATAGTCAGCTAGAGGTAGAGGTGATGCTGTTCGTTCCCTTTCCCAGCCCTTTTTTTCTCAAAAGGTTTTAGACAGAATTCATTTCAAGTCTCCTTTCAGGAAAGTTGCCTTCTCAGGAAGGCAGCTCAGCAGTATTTTCCTGGGAGAGCAGTGTTCTAGTTCTTTTAAAGCATGCGCATCTGATGAGAGAAACGGGTATTTCTAACCGGTTTTTTCTAGCACACTTATGTATCTTGGATCTTCTCAGAGGCATTACAGACTGCTGCTGGTAACTGACTCACTTCAGCTGGTAACTGACAATTCCATTTTGTTTTTCTAATGTTTATTTAATCTCTTAAGTCTCTCACTGTACCTAGCATGAAGTTGATTTGACAGATACTGTTTTATTACAGTTCTCCCTGGTGTTATGAAAAATAACGAAGTGACCTAGGAAAGTATGAGAAGTGAATTCCTGTAAATAACTGCACTGGGGACGCCACTGTCGGTGCAGTTGTCTGGAGAATAGTCCTTATTCCTCTTTCCACTGCTTTTGCCTCTTGTGTGCAAATATGATCTAAACGATGGCTGATCAGTTACTAAAGCTTACTCATGTGAAAGGGCAAGAGAAAAGGCATGTAGGTCAAAGGGGTGTTTTAAACAAGCAAGTCGTTTTTCTCCAGAAAACACTTACTTTGTTATGGTGATCTTGTTTTGTTTTCTGCTTCCACTTGCCTGAGGCTGGGAGACCAGGATACTGGCTGTGCAAAGCTCAGGGTCCCGGACCACGCTCTTCCTCCTCTGCCCCAGCGGGCAGCACATGCCTGCGTCTGCTGCACCTTCGGAGGGAGGAAGGTGCCGTCAGAGGTGTTGCGCTTGGGCTGCTTTAGAGCGAGGAGGGAGAAGGGGAGAGGCATGAGACCTAGAGGTCTGCTGTTCCACCCTCACCATTGCAGTAGGTGTGGGTGTTACCCTGCAGCAATTAAGTGGCTTTAAGAGGGCTGCATCTATTTCTGAGTAAGAGCGTGAAAGATCTCGAAGAGATGGTGCCTTGCTGAAGTAAGGATTGATGATTTAGCAATGGGATTATCCCGCAGTACTTACACATGGACAAAACTGTTGGATTAAATGGAGTTTTGTTACTTATTGTTGCACATGACTATATTTCAGTATTGTGCATTGCCATAGCAAAGTGTGCCTGAGTTGTGTATGTGTGGGGTGGGGGTGGCCAGGGAGCCCACGTAGGGAGCCCCTGTTTAAGCATGCAGCTGTTTCTGTACAACGGGGTGAGAGGTGCTTTTCACAAACTAGACTTAGAAAATGTAGGAGATAAATCTGTTAGCTACAGAGATGGCTCGTAGCTGAGTAGAAAGTATTCCCAAAGGTGACAGATTTGTTAATCTCTGGGTCTTGTGTGTTTCTGCATTTTGTTGTACAGGTTTCTTAGCAAGGTCCCCAGGAGCTCAGCCACCCACGATGCCGGTGCCTCCCCCTCCAGCTCCCCCGCCGCCCCCAACACTGGCCTTGGTAAGTTTTACAGGAGGGAAACGCGCGGTACATGCTGTCTTCTAGTACTCCTTGTCATACGGAAAGGGACGTGCAAAAGCAAAGGATGTGGACAAGGATATGACATCTGTTAGGTATATGCTGAATATGAGGTATTTGGAGGATGCTCTCCTACGTTTTGTTGATCGCTGATGATTGGTCCTACCAGAGGAATCATTACTTCCGCTCCCTTCCATGCCCACGCGGATGTAGCTGGCCACCTCGGCTTTCCACCCTCCTGTTCCTCCCGCCCCAGTGCTTCGGTTTGGTGCTAGCATCCTCGACTGGGCGTCGTGGGTCCTCAACAGTTTGTCTGGGCCAGGGCAATCGAAGTCTTGCTCTCCCCTTCCCTTTCTCCAGCCTTGTGCTCCCCTCTTCTCCCTTGCCCTAGCCCTGGCACTTACATGACCTAGCAGTGAACTGGGTCAGAGAACCTGAGCTGGCCCAAAATGAACCCTGCTTTTTACATCTGGTAAGGATAGTTTTCAGCCAGCATAGCTCCCTGAACCAGCCAAAAGTATGAGGGCACAAGATTCACTGCTGGTACAATGTGGCAGAGGAGACTGCATCAGACCTGAATCAAATCGGCTTAAGCTGAAGCAGAGCCACACCCTGAGTTGCGTTTGCCCTCTGACAGGCTGTGGCTATTCTAACAAGAAAGAAGAGGACTCTTGAAGTGCTGTCCTAAAGTACTCAAATATTTTGAATCATAAGCCTGGCTGGTTACATGGATCTCTTGGGCTGTGACCCTGGTTAGTCCCTGATTTCTCTCATTTTCCACCACAGGCAAAAACTCTGTACTTAGTCCCTTCATGGCAACTTCCACCACCTTTGAGGAAATTTCCGTAACGCTGATCTGATTGATATGTTAGAAAGCTTTTCAGGAACCACCATTTCCTAGAACAAATAATCCTGTATTCGTATGTGCATGTGTACATATGTCTGTGCATGTATACTTTTGGGGTCGGTCTTGAAAAACTGTAGTCACCAAAACATGAACTATAAAGGGAGGACCACGGAAACAAACCTCAAACTTTGTAAGCCATAGTTTTTCTCTTCCAGCACGTTCTAAACGTTTGCAGAAATTTAAACGTCTTAATTTACATTCTCATACCATTATTTGCTCTGTTTATTTTTCCATACATGTTACACTTTCCAGATTGTAGTGTGAGGAAAAATCACAAATCAGTTGCAATCCATAAAGAATAGGCAGATGCAATTGGGTTCATGCTTTTACTGGGATTTGAAAAGGTCCGTACTGTTAACACTGGTGACTGACATTTCAAAGTATTTCTTTCAAAATTAAAATAGTAACTACAACTTCATTTTCATTCTGGTTTATTCAGTATTTGTATATTAAGAGTTTTGCTGCAACTTGCGAGAAGTATCTGAGTATCTAAGAGTAGCTGAGACTCTTAAACGTTGAGTGAAAAAAATATGAGTTCAAATAAAAGCATTTTGTTTCCAGGGAATTCTCTGGGTTGGGCTAGCAGTAGTGTTTTGGGCCTAGAGTCAGTCACAAGTCCTATAGCATCGTCCACAAAACCAAACGTGGCACGCTACCTAATCCGTTGCTGTTAAAATGGAAATTGAGGTCTCAGGTAACTACCATATTTGAGCAGAACTTTGTAGCTTGAGGTTGGTTTATTTTACCTCCCCTTTGTAATTTTATTTTACAGGCAAACACTGAAAAGCCATCCTTAAGCAGGTCAGAGCAAGCAGGGCGAAATGCTCTATTGTCTGACATTACCAAAGGAAAAAAGCTAAAGAAGACTGTTACTAATGACAGAAGTGCTCCGATTCTAGACAGTGAGTATAATTCTGTATGTTTGAGTTTTGGTATGCTTGAATGGTGCTATATATTTGAGTGCGGAAAGCTATTTTATGTATCAGCAGATGAAGTGCCATGAGAGAATCAGGTAAAATAAAATGCCAAAAACTGGCGTAAATAAAAATGAGTTCTGTTCATCATGGATTAAGTCAGCTGAGAAATCAATTACCGCTGTGAAACGTGAGCGTTAAGTTGTTTGCTGACCCTTGTAAAGTAGTTCATTTTCTCATTTGCCTAAATCAGAAAGCTGTGTGCAAACCCTACGAGGCGCTCTGCTGAAAAGCTGCAGGCAGATCAGGCGCACAGAGAAACCCCTTCAGCCCTGAGAACAGCACAGGGAATAAAGTGGTATTTTAAGCCTCCACTTTTGCACAAGCAGCGCAACAGCACAGGCACCCTTGGTATGACAACATTGGTGTATTAATGGATCCAGCGCCACTTAATGCAAAACCACCGCCAAAGCCGGGAGCCACAGCTCCACCTGCGTATCACCCTGCTGCACACGCGGTTTTGCCCCTCCTGGAGCGACTCGCCAGGCCTATCCTTTTGGCCGAACCTTGCCACTCAGCCTGCCAGACGGTGCCTTGGCGCAGCGCAGCAACTCACCTTACCTCACTGGAGAAAAGACCTCCATCCGGCTGAACTGCTGCTGCGTCTCACAGTGCATCTTGGCAGACGCTGACAGGAGACTGGCAAAGCCCGTGTGCCAAAAGGGTTGAGAAGACAGGACAGAAACACGAGAGGAGCGAGAAACACAGGCGTGCTACGTCAGTAGCACAGCACTTACTGTCCAGGGAGCAAAGACATTTCTTCAGACAGATTAGCCAATGTGATACAACTCAGCCCAGGTCTGCCTGTGCAATTAGAAGCTGGAGTGTGACGGCAAGGTGATGAGGAAAGAAGGAAATGCCAGAAGGAATGTGACCAAAGAAGAATAAAAAAATTAAAATAGATACAGTCCTGCAATCAGCCATGTATCTAAATTTTAAATATTTGAAAGCAAAGTACGTTCTAGGTATTTTACTGAGCTGGAGAAAAAATCATTAAGGGAATTACAGGAGGTCTAAACAGTAAGATTAAAATGATGTGGTCTTATTATCTTATTCACGTGAATTAATGAATCATGATGAAAGCCTAAACCATAGCAGCAGCATTTTCCAGAGGTTCACACCCTGCGTGAGTCAGAGCTGAACTGAGCTAACATGCTTCAGAGAAGGATGATGTTAAACATTCCTCCATGAACGCAGTCTTCCTCCTTTCTTTCTGGGTGGGATTATTAGAAGTGCTTTTCATCTACAGGTTTTAATTAGTGTAGAGCCAGTGAAATTTTTACCCACCCAGAGCTGTGGAAATCAAGATGCCAAAAAATTGAGCAATTGATCTGCTGCCATTCAGCCCATCCTCTGGGACCTGATCTCCACAGATCTCCTGACCTGTGGCCCTGTCCATTTTGCAGTGATGCCCTAAATAGGTCCCTTCCCTGCATTGATAATTTATAATGGTGGAAACATTTTTATTTTACGTTGAGTGTCTCAGTGTTGTCAACAACAGAAATGATGGCATTAGAGAAAAATAGGGGAGGAAGAAAGGAGCTGAAGTAATAATTTCTTCCTGTTGGAAAAATTAGCTGCTACTGATCCTGTCACTGCATTTCTGGACCTACAGGAAAGTAATCAGAAAGGAAATCTCTTTTCCCACTAAGTTTTAAGTAAGTAGATGCAAACAAGATGTGTTGCAACTACATCAGTAGTGACAGAGGTAGGTGCATGCCCAGAAGTGCACACTAGAGACACCTACAAGAGGAAGAACACCTTGGTCTTCCTCCTTCTTTCCTCATTTCACCTGAAATTGCGCAGTCTCTCAGTTTGCTTATGGAGAAATGGAGGGGGAAGGATAAGGGACCAAAGGCATAAAGAAATCGAAAGCAATTACAGAGATGTTAACAAAGACAACACAATGTTCTCAGAGGTCCCACGCATTTCAGTTCCAAACTGTCCAAAGTGGCCATTTCTATGCCGTCCTGTCCACAGTAGACTAAAGGGAAGTGATGGCTTAATAAAACACAGTAACTATATTTATTACACCAGCTCTTCCGTGGTGTAATAGTGGTGTTGATGGTAGCTGAGATGGTCCAACTCGAAGAAGGGCTTGTGTGTTTTGAAAGCTTGTCCATTTTTCCCCTGTTACAAGAGTTGCTCTAGTGAAAGAGAGGGCTTCACTGGATCAGCCTCATCTCTCTGCATAACTTGGGGGATTTTTGTTCCAACAGAACCCAAAGGACCTGGTGGAGGTGGTGGTGGCTTTGGAGGAGGCGGCGGTGGCAGCAGCGGGGGCTTTGGTGGTGGCGGCGGCGGCGGCGGTGGCTTCAGTGGAGGTGGACCACCTGGCCTTGGAGGCCTTTTTCAAGCA